AAAGGATCTGAACAGATGTTTCCCAAAGTGCATGTAAAAATTTCAAAGCAGATGAAAACATGCTCAACACTATTAGCTATTAGGAAAATGCAAGTCGAAACCACAATGGATATCACTCTGACCTAAAAGAATGGTTAAAATTAAAAAGGCAGATAAGAGCAAGTGTTGGTAAGGATATGGAGAAATAGGAACCCAAATACATTGCTGATGGGAATGTAAAATAGTGAAGCTTCTTTGAAAAACAGTCTGGCAGTTCCTCAAAAGTTTAAACATAGAATTTCCACATGTCCCAGCAATTCAACTCCAGGGTATGTACCCCAGAGAAATGAAAACATAGGTATAAACAAAAATTTATACACAAATTGCATAATTCAAAATAGCCAAAAGAGAAAACAAGACAAANAAACAAAAATTTATACACAAATTGCATAATTCAAAATAGCCAAAAGAGAAAACAAGACAAATGTCCATCAGCTGGTAAATGGCTACATAAAATGTGATATATCCTTCCCGTGTGTGTTATTCAGCAATAGAAAAGAATGAAGTACTGATAAATGCCATAAAACGAATGAACTTTGAAAACATTATTCTAAGTAAAAGAAATCACAAATGACCACATATTGTACAGGTATGATTCTATTTGTGTTTATACCAACCAAATCCATAGAGACAGAAAGTAGATGAGTGGTTTCCTAGGGCTGGGGTGGGGGTGGAAGGAAATGGGAGTGAATGCTAATCTATAGGATTTCTTCTGCAGGTGTTGAAATGTTCTTAAATGGATTGCAGCAATAGTTGCACAGCTCTGAATATACTAAAAATCATTAAATTTTATACTTTAAGTGGGTGAATTTTATGATGTGCAAGTTTTATCACAGTAAAACCATTACGTAAAAAAAGAAGGAATAAATGATAAAAGGAGTGATACCCAAGAATGTGTCACCTGTTCAAAAAAAGAAAAAGACACCTAGACAACAAAACATAACGCAATGTGTTACATATTGCATTAGGCAAGGTAGATAAGTCTACACCATCACAATAAATCAATCCAAAAGTCCAATGATTTAAGACAAG